CTCCTAAACTGTGTCACTTGGCAGATGGATGATTCCCCACTCTGATCAAAGAAAGAACCTGAGGCCTGTTTGAATAAACTGCCAGCTGCTTAATGCTTTCCAAACTCTGCATTTATCTTACATGCTGATGAACTGAGACTCCAGAACTGAGGTGAATCCAAATGTGCGGGTGGCAGGAAAGAGGGGGAGAGAAGAATCCTGAGTGGAGTCTGAAGGCCTGGAGCAGGTCTCCTGATGGGGGGCCACAGACCCAGTATTGGGCAACAGGGACCTCCACCCCTAAGCGTTCCAGCAAAGCTGGTGCTTGAGGACCAAAACTGATGTTCCTCAGCAATCCAAGGATCCTCTTAGCCTGGCACCAAACTTTTCCAATGGCCTGGGGTGGAGGGAAGTAGAGGGGCATATGGAAGTTCCATCGCATATAGCCATAAAAACACCTCCCTTTTACCATAGATCTCTTTTCACATCTAAGCATTCACCTAAACCCAGAAGTAATTTCCTGAACTCGGATTTTTTTTAAAGGTGCAGAAAGTTTGGACATTCATTAAATCCCACGAGACTGCAGTGTTCTTGCAGGATTTTGTGAGGTCTTGGTGGTCTCTTGAGAGATCTTGCAGTCTTCCGATTTTCCCTTCCTTTTCCTGGAATGTGCCTGAGCAAGGGGTATAGGCTGGGCCCAACAGGCCTGGATAGGACGCTCCAAAGAGCCCCAGGGTTGCAGGCTAGACCTGAAGAAACTTCCAGAAAAAGGCAACAGTGAATTGCAAGCCTGTTCTGGGTTGTGGACAAGACGACAGGATGGCCATCTTGAAGATGTCACCAAGAGCCGAGGTTGGCCTGACAGAGATTTTACCATTTTCTCTGTTGTAAAACCTCTCTCAGTAATATTTGTTTCACACCCGTTGCAAGGTCCCATCAGAAGCTCATGCCGATGGAGACCTCTTCTCTTTCTCAAAGTCTCCCTTGTCCTCCCACAAACACACAGCCTCGATATTCTTCAGGTCTTGAAGCGCAACGAGCATATGGGCTTAATCGCAGCCATCTTTGGATTTCATTCCTTGTTTCATCATTCCCAATTTTCAGCCCATCTGTCACTTCCCTGCCGGAATGGAGGACTCACAGATGCAACCTGATAGGACCTTCATCCCAGGCGGCCTCATTTCACTGCCCAGCTAATGGGCACCAACATCTGACGGATGAAATACCGGTTCAGAGAGGGGTGCACTAGCCAAAGCAGACACAGCATTAACCAGGGCTGGCAGTGGTACACGTCCTGTATTTGCAGACCCCGACAAGGGACTTTGTGGAATTAAAATGGCACACCAAGTCAACTTAGCCATCATGCTGCTGGGGACAGTAACTTGGAATTTAAAGCTAGTTGCAGTTTGAGCGCTTTGGGGCAGATTGCCACGTTTCATGCTGCATTAAGCATCTTTTGCAAGTCCAGAAAATAAGAAGCCCCACTTTGGGGAGCTGAGGAAGAATATTTCCCCCCCACTGTCTTACAGTTAAGGAGATGCTGAACCAGGTACTCCCTCAGGTGAGCAAACAGCAAACTATTAAAAGCTTTTATTTCTGCATTTTTTAAAGCCAGAGGTGCATCCTCTTGTGCAGTGGAAGAGACTTCACCTTCTGTAGCATCAGGGGCAGCCAATGTTTCACTTTCTGCCTGATAGTAGTTGCTGAAGCATTTTCTCCCTCCCTCCCTCCCTCCCTC